TTTTGAGGGGGAATGGCGGATTATGGGGAGCAATGGGTGGGTATTGGGGGCCGGCGGAGGGGGGTGAGGGGGTCCAGGGAGGGGCTATGGGGATGAGGTGAGGTGGAGTTTAGGGGTCTGGGGGGAGTCGGGGGAGGTATGGGGGGCAGGGCCAGCCCCTGGTCCCTGCCCAGAAGGACCCAGTCCGGGATGTTTTGTGCAGGCAGCAGAAGGTCCCCCTTCCCCAGCCCAGAACATGAGTTCCACACACGGCTCTTTGCACCCCTTTATTCCCCTTGGAGCCCCAAATCCCACAGCTCCCACATCCCAACATTTCCAAACCCTGACCTTCCCCCCCAAGCCCCGCAAGAAACATCATGTCCCTTTTTGGGGTCTTTTTTTACCCAAATTCAGAACATTTAAGCTCAGACTATTTACACCCAACCCCCCTCTTGCATATCTAGGGAATCCCAAAGCCTTTCCCAGCTGTGGGATGTTCCCTCTGGGAGCCCCTGACCACCCATTCCTGGGATCCCCCTGAAGGGATTTTAGTGTTGATTTGGCTCCTTGGAGCCTCCCAGGGCTCAGGAAGGGTTTTTCCCGGGATAAGTTTTCCGGATTCCACTCCAGAGAGCAACCGAGACTCTTGCATAGCCAGGGGCAGGGTGGAAAAGGGGATGGGATAAGAAAGCAGGAAAATAGGAATAAAAGCACTGGGGGGAGGGTGAAGAACCTAAAACAAGCTGTTTTCCAGGCCTAAAGTTTCTTCCTGGAGCCAGCCTGGGGCTTTCCTGAATCATCTTTCACGTCCTTCAAGCCAAACTATTCCATGATTCCCCAGTGGGATTTTCGCTGCTGGTTGATGAATTCCATGGGTTTTTTCCTTATTATTTGCCTTAAACAGCACCCCCCCCGCCGCTGGATTCCTCCTCTAGGTTGGGAAATGCTGGATCAGCTTCTCCTGGTGTTCCAGCACTATCCAGGGAAAGTGTCTGCTCGTGGATGGAGCATCCCAGGGATTGAGGAGGGAAATGGGGCAATGAACCAAGAGCAGGAGGGAAAAACATGAAATTTGGGTGGAAAAAGCAGGAGAGTGGGGGTGGTGTGGAAGGATTTGCATAAAAGCTCCAGGATTTTTCCAGTGTGGGCTCCTCCTGCTTCCCAGGAGCTGTGGCTGGGCCAAGGTCTGGGGTTTTTTTGGCTAAAAATCCCCAAATTTTGCCATCGGAAGGTGGATGTTCCCAACAAACCCCAGAGTTTTCCTTCCTGTGCTGTGCCGGAGGCCCCAAAACTGTCCCAGTCCTTCCCAGAGCCTGGAATAAAGTGCAGAATGTACGTGTGGTGGGAAGAGAGGCACAGGGAGAGCCGGGAATGGGAATTTCTACCTCCTGCCATGCAGGATCAGCCCTCTGTGCCCCAGGAATGCGGTGGGAGCTTCCCTGATATAAATATATAAATATATATAAATATATCCACTTATGTCCGGGCCTTGGGGGCCTTGGAGGAAGAGGGAATGAGCTCTGATGTGGGAATGCAGATCCCCCACCCTCATCCTGAGGAGAACTGTGGACCCCACATCCCCCATTCCAAGAAGAATTGTGGATCCCAAACCTCTCATTCCCAGGAGAATTGTGGATCCCTCATTCCCAGGGGAACTGTGGATGCCCCATTCCCAGGAGGAGCCATGTGGGGGAAACGAGGCTGTGTCCAAACGTCGCCACAGAGCCACAAACCCAAGGTTGGGAATCAAACGCCGCCAATCCACCCCAAAAACCTCTTGTAGACAGCCCCGGGAGCCGCAGGAGGTGGGAGCGGGGCCAGAGGGACATTCCAGGTGGGATCAGGGGGTGTAGGCTGGCGGGGGCTGGAACTGGTTGATCACCTCGTACTCGGCTGGGTAGGGCTCGTTCTCCTCCATCTCCGAGAGCAGCTCCAGCGCCTGCTCCTCCTCCTCGGTGGGATAATGTCGGAGGAGGTTGGCAGCCGTGGCCAGGATCGAGGCCCCCCCTGCCCCCGCCACCAGGTAGAAGCTGACGGCGAAGGTGACGTAGACCTGGGAGCCGTGGTACTTCTTGTGCTGCTGCTGCTGCGCCAGGATCAGCTCTGATGCCCAATAGCAGAACCCGATGACGGTGGCACATTGCAG